GCCACCATGCCCAGCTAATTTTTTGTATTTTTAGTAGAGATGGGGTTTCACCATGTTGACCAGGATGGTCTCGATCTCTTGACCTCGTGATCCACCCGCCTCGGCCTCCCAAAGTGCTGGGATTACAGGCTTGAGCCACTGCGCCCGGCCCAGAAGAGCCGTTCTTTTGGCAAACATCCACAAACAACTCGAGAAGGCTCCTTTACCTCCAAATACAGTACATTGCACCTATTTCCCAGGGTGTTGGGGGAGAGCTACTGCCCCCTGTTGGGCAGCTCACTTACGTGCATGAGCCAGGCTGAGGGCCCAGAGCCGCAGGTAGGAGGCTGTGTTTGAGATGCAGCCCAAGCAGTACTCGATGGTGTGGATGGCCTGGTGGACAAAGACATCTCCAAAGTTGAACTGAAAGACAGAATTGTTAACTTTACTTCATTGAGAACTTTCTTTTTTGTTGTTGTTTTCCTTTTTTTTTTTTTTTTTGAGATAAGAGTCTCACTCTGTCGCCCAGGCTGGAGTACAGTGGCACAATCTCGACTCACCGTAACCTCTGCCTTTTCAAGCGATTCTCCTGCCTCAGCCTCCTGGGTAGCTGGGACTACAGGCACGTGCCACCACGCCAGGCTTTTTTTTTTTTTTTTTTTTTGCATTTATAGTAGAGATGGGGTTTCACCATGTTAGCAAGGATGGTCTTGATCTCCTGACCTCATGATCCTCCCGCCTTGGCCTCCCAAAGTGCTGGGATTACAGGCATGAGCCACCATGCCTGGCCTTTCATTGAGAACTTTCTATACAAAAGTTATTAGAAATGATGCGAAGATGAATAAGGCATGGGCTTTGCTGTCCAGACACTTTCAGCCTAAGGGAAAAGAAATAGTAACAGACTTGGAGAAAGAGAATTATCAGCATGAAGTCGGGTATGTTATGTGTGCATTAACGCTCCCCAGCAATAGCTAAAAATAAGCTCAAAGATGCCAGCTGGGTGGTAAGGGGAGATGAGGTTCACGCTGTGCCAGGAAGGCTGGGTAGGGATGTGATCTTGAAGGAGAAGAAATTGTTCCTGAGGAGGAAAAGGATCCCTGGTTGGGAAAAGCAGGTGGCTGGGAATATCACCAAGTCAAGTTGGAAAGGAGACAATTTGGCGGGGACTGGGAGCTTGGTTAGGTGAGGAATAGAAGACACTGCTCCTGTGTGGAAGTTTCTAGAAATGCAAACTAGGGGTAAAGTGGAAGAAACAACCTGGATGCAATGAGGAGCCAGAGAGGCAGAGCCGGTAGCATCATGGATTAGAGGAGGGACCGCCTTAAAGAAAAAAAAAAGGACACTTTGGTGATGAGCTCAGTCATACAGGAAAGAGGCGAATAACACAGAACGAAGACAGCCATGGCGCCTTCTCCCTCATGCTCTCTGAAATGACAGACAGTTTTTTGGGGGGAGGGTGCAGGGTCTTGCTCTGTCACCCAGGCTGGAGGGCAGTAGCATGATCACGGCTCACTGCAGCCTTTGCCTCCCAGGCTCAGGTGATCCTCCCACCTGAGCCTCCCGAGTGGCTGGGACTACTCGGCATGTATTACCACACCCAGCTAATTTTTGTATTTTTGTAGAGATGGGATTTCACCATGTTGTCCAGGCTTGTCTGGAACTCCTGGCCTCAAGCAATCTGCCTGCCTCGGCCTCCCAAAGTGCTGGGATTGCAGGTGTGATCCACCGTGCCTAGCCATGGGGGACAATTTGACTGGTGCTGTACCAGTTCTCAAGTTGCTCACAGCCTAGTCAGGAGAATATATAGAAGAGCTCCCATGCCACACTCTGGGAAGCACAATGACCAGGGCATGCAGTGGTATCATGGGAACACAGAGAAGGCCCCTTACCTACTCAGGGCCAGGGCGGCCAGGGCTTTGAGGCTCCTAATCCTGAGTAGCTGGAAGAATGGTATTGACAGAGGAGGTGAGCAGTTGGGTCTCCCACATCCTGAGTTTCAGATGGTAGTGGGCCTCATCAGTAGATGCTCAGCACATGGGAGTACAGGTGGAACTACGGGGGCTCAGAAGGAAAGTCCAGACTGGAAATGGACCCCTGAGACCACATCTGCAGGACAGAGGAGATCAACAAGGGAAAGTTCAAAGAAAGAGGCGCTCCCAGCCTTGGGAAACATCTTCATTCAGAGATAAAGGAACAAGGCCAGGTGCAGTGGCTCACGCCTGTAATCCCAGCACTTTGGGAGGCTGAGGCAGGTGGATCACTTGGGGTCAGGAGTTCAAGACCAGCCTGGCCAACATGGTGAAAGCCCACCTCTACTAAAAATACAAAAAATTAGCCAGGCATGGTGGCACATGACTGAAGTCCCAGCTACTTGGGAGACTGAGGCAGGAGAATCGCTTATACCCGGGAGGCGGAGGTTGCAGTGAGCTGAGATCGTGCCACTACAATCCAGCCTGGTTGACAGAGTGAGACTCTGTCTCAAAAAAAAAAGAGAGAGAGAGTAACAAAACAAGAAACTGATGAGGAAAAGAAAAGATCAAAGAAAAAGCAGCCGGGCGTGGTGGCTCATGGTTCATGCCTGTATTCCCAGCACTTTGGGAGGCTGAGGCAGGCAGATCACCTGAGGTCAGGAGTTCAAGACCAGCTTGACCAACATGGAGAAACCCCATCTCTACTAAAAATACAAAAAAAAATCAGCCAGGCCTAGTGGTGTGCAACTGTAAACCCAGCTACATGGGAGGCTGAGGCAGGAGAATCGCTTGAACCTGGGAGGTGGAGGTTGCAGTGAACCGAGATGGTGCCATTGCACTCCAGCCTGGGCGACATGTTAGCCTTGCTAACATGGTGAAACTCCATGTCAAATAAAAAAGAAAAGATCGGAGAAGCTGGAGCAGTCACGCTGCAGTCAAGGATGTCTGCAGAGGGAGACACCCAGTAAGTAAGGAAGGAATGGGGGTGCAGTCACCGATGTCAGAGGTTATGGGGACAAGACAAAAATGAGAACCTCAATTCAGCCATGAAGGCAGCTGTGAGGAATTGAAGGGACATGGATGGGCAGAGATGGACGGAGTAGGCAGAGTCAAGGTCCAGAAGAACTGTGTAAGAAAGAATTAATCTAGGCCAGATGTGGTGGCTCATGTCTGTAATCCCAGCACTTTAGGAGGCCAAGGCAGGAGGATCACTTGAGCCCAGGAGTTCAGAACCAACGTGGGCAACAAACTGAGACCCCATCTCTACCAAAAATTTAAAAAATTAGCCTGGTGTGGTGGCATGCACCTGTGGTCCCAGCTACTCAGGAGGCTGAGGCAGGAGGATCGCTTGGGCTCAAGAGGTCAAGGCTGCTGTGAGCTACCATTGTGCCACTGCATTCCAGCCTCAGCAACAGAGCAAGACCCTGTCTCAAAATAGTAATAACAATAATAATAATTAACCTTCCTGAACAGGACTGGCTTTGTCTTGGCTCCCGGGAGGTAACCTTTAAACCACTGGCATTTCCCACATGAAAGGCTCTTTGTTATTCATGCTGGGCCCTGTGACCACACCTGACCATTTATGCTAACGCAGTGGATGAAGCTGGGCACCTCATAGTTGAAGTGGGGTCTGGCCACACCAGACCACACACAGCTATCGAGGGAAAACTTTTTAAAATAAGTAATTAACACCACAAATGGAGCCATTTATGGCGTCTCTGGACCTCATGGGAACTCAGTTCCCACTCCCAAATTAGAACAGAGCTCCAGTTAAAGCCTCCAGCCTGGGATTCATAACTGTGTCTGACTTCAGTCAACACATGGGACAGACAGCTGCCTTCATCTGGGAGGATGTGGCACAGGCTCCTGAGGGGCAGTGGCTGTCCTTGTACAGGCAGGGGCAGGGAGGGATGAGGGGACAAAACCACTTACGAATTCACACAAGAGGCATATAACATTATAGAGATCGTAGTGGGCCGGGCACAGTGGCTCACTTCTGTAATCCCAGCACTTTGGGACGCTGAGGCGGGCAGATCACCTGAGGTCAGGAGTTCAAGACCAGTCTGGCCAACATGGTGAAACCCTGTCTCTATTAAAAACAAAAATTAGCCGGGTTTGGTGGCAGGTGCCTGTAATTTCAGCTATTCGGGAGGCTGAAGCAGGAGAACCGCTTGAGCCCGGGAGGCGGAGGTTGCAGTAAGCAGAGACTGGCTCACTCTAGCCTGGGCAACAGTTTTTTTTTTTTTTTTTTTTTTTTTTTTTGTGGGGTTTTTTTTTTTTTTTTTTTTTTTTTTTTTTTAGACGGAGTTTCGCTCTTGTTACCCAGGCTGGAGTGCAATGGCACGATCTCGGCTCACCGCAACCTCC